GCTAGGCCTGACATCATGTGAATTCCTCAGGGAGGTGCCAGTCTCATCCTCTTGTTCCTCCCATGCGGTTCTGGCGAGCTAAGAAAATGTTTATCTCCCTGAGCTTGGCTTTCATAATTCCATTCCATCACAGTGACATACCATATCCTACATACATCTGAGAAGTCTGTATACTTATTTTGATTTGCACATGGCATCTCTGGGTGATTGCCTGCATGTTATAAACCAAGGATGTAGCCTTTGTAGTATCATGGGACATATTTTCAAACTCTGGCATGAGAATTGTAACAGACCATTATAGAAATATAAACAGTACATGTGCAACAAGGAATTATTTGCTTATGTGCTGGCTGAGCTGGGCTGCAAAGTAGTAACACGCTATTGCCCAAGTGCGCCTTTCCCTTCTTAGTTGTGTTAATTCACTCAAGTTTAATTAGTTCTCTGCCTAAATCTGTGCATGTGCATGTGAAAGAGAGGGTGATGAAGAGTGCTGCTGCAACTATCTCAGCATTCAAATATGCTGAGCTCGCACCATTCAACCAATCATCTCAGCTGGATTCAATCTGGTTAAATATATCAACAATTCTGAACTGCAGTTTCTGAAACATTCCCGTGCATAACACTGATACTGACCCAAACTTGGCTATGGCAATGACTGTTTTACCTTCAAGAACCAGAACAACTCAAGCGAATAACCAACCCTTTGCTGAAAAGGAGCACAGATTGGGTTTTCAAGGCAGTGTTATTCTAAAGCCTCCAACATCTCTGCCCTCTCCTTCAGCTAATCACCAGCAGAGGAGAACGGAGCTAAGCGAGGGAAGATAAACAGTGAAAGCCCGTCCTTTACTTACGGAGCTGCAGCAGCAGCAGCAGCAGCAGCAGCGGATGGCTCCTCCAGTAACCCATTTTCTGGATCTTGCCAGCAACCAAATCCCAGCTTCGCAGTGCTGTTCGGTTCATCCTCCGCCAGCCTGTCCAGGGCTTGTGGGGCTCCTTTCTAAAAGTGAAGGGGAGGCAGATCCAGCTGTTTCAAATCCAGCTGTGTGAGTGTGTGGGGTCCGCCCAGGAACTGAAGTTTCTGAGCCGACGAATGCTGGCTCTTTCTGAATGCACACAAATATAGGAGGAGGAGGAGGAGGAAGGGGGAAGGAAAAGTTGGCACCAAGAGCAAAGCTTGATATAAGGATGACGATGCCGAGCAGCTTCAGGAACAGGAAAGAAAAGAAAAAGCTGGCCATCCAAAACGGTGCACAGAGCACCTCGTGTCTGCCCCTAATTTTAACTGGCCTGTGAGATTAAATGTACAAATCCTTTTCTTGGAAGAAAAAGAATGAAATAATAAATCAAGGCATATGATGGCAGCTCTTTTCCCATCAGACCTCTTTCCATTAGAAAGTAATGTGGAACAGATATAGAAATTAGGAAAACATCTATGCATTTATTGCTGTTGTGTGCTTTGTAGCCTTCATTCTGCTTCAGTCTGTTCCTCTTCGCAGTCACTGACCAACGCACCTTTTGCTTAGAACAGTGTTGTCCAAACTTGGCCACTTTACGTTGAGTGGACTTCAACTCCCAGAATGGCTGGCTGGGAAATTCTGGGAGTTGAAGTCCACTCATCTTAAAGTGGCCAAGTTCGGACAACACTGGCTTAGAACAAAAGAAAAGCAGCAGCAAAACTGTCAACAAGAAAAAATACACCCCCCCCAACTGATGAACATTTGTGTAACATTATAAAATTGCACGACTGCAATGATGCTACGCAGGACAATGATGCTGGAGGGGCTGAGCAGTCCAACAAACAGGCAGTTTAATTCTGGAGGGAAGGACTCTGTAGGGTTAGAGCCACTATCTCCCAGCCCCAACTTTCTACCTTCAAAATAAGTATGAGCATGACTACTTTTTCCTTCTGTTCCAAGCAAGTGCGAGGGGTCACCTGGTTTACCCCCTTCCTCCATGGGCTGTACTGCCGGCTTGCTTGTATTTAGTGGCTGAAGGAAAGGTGCATATCTGGCACAGAACGTAGGATACAGGACAAAACAGTGTGCCCCTATTTGATGGGCTTTCCACATGAGATATTGTGTGGGTGAATCCTCTATAGTAGTTAGGAGTGTCTCCCAAGACTCATTCAGCCCAAGGGACTTTCCAATCTAGCCTAGAAGCCCTATCCACTTTCCAGCAGTCTTGCTCCTTTCCTCAGAGCCCTCTTTCTAGTCCTTTTCTTAGGCCCCTACTCCATCTTCATGGCCTCCAGAGAAAAGAGAAATAAAGCTGGTGGAAAAGGACTTTTTCGGACTTTCAGAGGATTGAAAAGAGTTCTTGTTGGTGTCAGTGGAGGCCTCATTGGTGTGTTTGTTGGGAGCAGATAAAAATGCATGCCTAGGGTACAGCAACATTGCTGAAGCAAAGTGGATCTGGGTTAGGTCAATGCTTCGATGAGAGGCCTCTTCATCCATGGAACTCCACCACAAAATAAAGGATAGATGCATATGTCATAAACAAATACAATAAAGCTTCACAGTTCTTTGCAATTTAAAAGAAAAGAATTATTTGACATATTTATAAGGAACTCACCAAAGTTTTAGGAAGATGGATGTCAAAGAAGGAGCAGTTTGGTCTGTCTTTTATGAGGACATTTCCATGACACACGTGCTGTCAACCATAGTTTAGCCACAAATCCACCTGATGGCTCCTCCCCTAAACAACACAGTTGCAACCCAGATCTCTGAACTTTATTTTGGGTTATTGTGTCTATTCAGAAGTAGCAGAAGAAACCTATGAACAAATGTCCAGCAAATTATTATTCTGACCAAAAGCAATTGCTGTGTGACGTTTTGTGGCTAGAAAATAAACCACAGATGGGTGGTTGGTTTGCAGCTGTGCTGCTCATGGGGAGGAAGCATCAGGCATGCTTGGGCTAAATTGTGGTTGGCAACACTTGAAATGTATGAACATATCCAGTTGAAGATAAACACAAACTGACAGTGCTCCATAGGAACCCTTTATATGCAAAAAGTCTGCACCACAGGGAGCTTCCAACTCTTTGTAGGAGAAAGCTGAGAAAGTGAAGACAGTTGCCGAGAAAGCAAAGAGCAGCAAAGCCTCGATGGCTTCAGCTTTTTTTACACAGTGGAGTTCATAGCACTGTTTTGGTGATAAATCATAATGAGCTTTTGGGAGGCAGAAGACAAATTACACTGGCTTATCCATGTTGACTCATTCATACTTTGGATGTAAGAATATGCTTTTGCACAAGATATGGGGAAAAAACCCCTCAAGCCCCAGAAATGGGATTTTACAAGAAATCATTACATTTCATTCTGAAGTGCTAATTATTAGGAGTGGGGGAATTAAATTGGTCTGTGTCCACAGTCCCAGGAAGGAGTCAAAGTTGCAGCATTATTCTGGAGGTGTTTATTCTACTACAGGCAATTCTGTCCCAGGAGCCTGTAGTTTTTTTGCACTTGTGCATTAAATGTGCCATCGCTTTAATTCTATAGAAATTAAGCAATGGCACAGTGAAGGAAAACGCTTAGTTTTGGAACTCGAGCGGAATGCCAGATTTGCATAATTTCCTTATTTGGGACTTATAGCATCTTCTAGTCATCCAATCATTGCTGGGCCATGTTCAGTAAAGAGAAGATGGTAAAGAGAAGATCAAATGCCCCAGGCACTGCCTCTTGGCCAATATAGGTCACAAAGTTACCATGAGATTAAATCAGGCATCTCCATCGACCTGAGTCCTTGGAGGAAAGATGAGGAATTAAAGACGCAGATGTGGGGAATTAAAGCATTAATTTCTAAAATAAGAGTTGCTCAAGCCATATGTTAGGGTACTAGTTTGAAGAGTGCTGGATTAAGATCAGCTGATGCCCTAAGCACAGCCAGCAATGGTGCCCCACAGCCCTTCCATTGTTTAACTGACCAGACGTTACAACTCAAGAAGTGCTGAAAATTAAAGTTGAGTGTGCTAGTGAAAGAGTTAAGGGCATGGTACCTAGGGGGAAAAACTGTGGGGTGCCCCCCTTCCCTTGGTGCCCTAAGCATAGGCCTATTTGCTTAATGGTTAATCCAGGGCTAAACTGGAGACTTTTGAAGGCGATCAGATTGGGAAGATGTTCTCTTCCCCCACTGTTTGTATTGTATTCTACAAAACAACAGCATTTGCCATTGGGTCCCATTTTTTGTATCTTATCTGCAGTAAGAGCCAGGATAGTGCTTAAGATACTAGACTAGGACCAGAGAGGTCCAAATTCAAACCCATTTCCCATGGAAGTGCACTGGGCTATTCTGAGCCAGCTGCTCTCAGCCTACAGCTGTACACAGAGAGCTGTTCCTCATGGCCATGTTAACACATATTTCTTCCATCCTTGAGTTGTCAGAGAGGTATACAATGGGTATATCAACCTCACTGCAATGTGCTGGCCCCAGAATGCTGATATTCCCTTTACAAGCAAAACCATCAAACAAACAAAATCCACAGAAGCCAGGTGTCTGGTCTCTCTTGCAGCCAAGACAAAACAGCAACACAGTTGTGGTGCTCAGCAACTTGGGAAGGGTTAGACAGCCAATGGGAGCCAGCTGGATTGCTCTCCCTGATGCCATAATCCCCAGTGTCATCACCAACATGTTGCAGATTGTCATACGGCAAGACTTGCGTCACTTCAACAGCAGAACATTCAAAGCTGCTTCAGGCTGCTTCAGGAGTAGGCTGCGGATGAGACAGGGCATGTCCCTTAAAAAGTGTTAGTGAGGTGTGTTTGTGCTACATTAAGTGGGATGTGAGGATGAGCCCAGATTTGTTGTGAGTATAAAAAATGGAATACATATGTCTAAGCTAGCTTGAGCTCCTGGAGAAAAAGTGCAATAAAAATATAACAAATTTTAAGCTGGGACTAAGTCCAACTGATGTTCCTGTAAATAGACATGCATAGGATTGCCACTATATGAAGCCCAACTTTTGTGTGGGAATTTAGCAAGGTGCCAAACTGCTCAGTTAAGCAGGTGTTGAAAAACTTGAATTGTTTTTCAAGTCAATACCCTGAAAACCATTCTGCCTTTAGAGTAAAAATCTCTGGTGCATCCTCCTATTTTTAGTGCAGCTTCACCCCAATGTTTTATGATATCAGTACAATACAGTATTATCCATTTTATTTCCAAATCTTTTCTGCTGTAGTCACTAACACTGAAGATGCTTTTTCCAGTTGTCGCACAGTTCTTCAATATTTTTACTAATTCCCTTCCTTCCAAAACCCCTTACCTGGTTTGTCTTTGCCTGCTCAGTCTAGATACAGTTAGGATTTTTTTCTCCAAATGTGCAGCATATTATTTTACTTCCTTTGAAATTTAGTTTTCATTTTGCTATCCCTTAACCAATATTTGAAGATAACCTGGGAAATCCTTTCTGTTTCCACTCCCCTGAATAATTTAATATCATCCACACACAGGTCCATTCATGCTCACTCCAGCCCTAGATTATTTACATAAATCCTTGCAGACTTCATTTCTTACACACCTCTGCTGTAGGACCTGTTCATTTATTACAGTGCTGATTTTTCACTAGATATCATTCCATAAAAGGATGTTCCCACTTATTCCATTACTCCAATTTTATTCTATTAAAGCCAAATCTTATTCAGGTTAGACTTTCACAATGCAGTGGTTAAAGTCAAATACCACACTAAGCCATGGTTTAACAACGATTTTTTGATAATTAGATTTGGCTGATACAAGATACCAGGTCAGAAGTCATGTTTTTACAAGCCCGAGTGTTCAAGCTCACGCCATGTGCTATGCCAAAAGCAAACTGACCTCTATTGTGACATGGGGCAAGATGTGAACCTAACCCCGCCTATTAGATCATCTCTTCCTATATTCTCTCTTTTTGCTAAATCAGGAGGCATCTCGAACACCTTGAATCTGGACTCCTCAACAAACTGACATGCCACTGAATCCAGCATCATAACCTCTTTC